TACAGATTTCAAACCAATTATTCGTACAGCCATTCAAAATGTATTGCAGCAACGCTGGTCTCTCGAGACCAGCAACAAACTTTTTAAAGTACAACCGAAACTTAAAAAATCTATTCCAAGTCGGAAAGATCGTAGAGAGGAAGTTGTCCTCGATCGGCTCCGTACTGGGCACACATATCCTACTCATTCGTACCTTTTAAAACGGGAAGATCCACCTTCATGCCACGCATGTGACACTCCATTTACAGTGGAACATTTTTTAATAGAATGTTCCGATTTTAAACACATTTGCGATAACTACTTTCGAGTCACGGATATGAAAACCCTTTTCAGTTCCGTGGACTCGAAGACATATATAACAATTTGAAAGACATCGATCTATTCTATAGTCTCTGATGTCTTTTAACCCACCTTATCCTTTTTGACGTTATATATATCACATAGTTCATATCATCTATTCGTTATCTCTTTTATTATTTTAACTCCCTTTTTATTTTAATTATTTACACATACAATGCGAATGCTTTTAAAATGAACCTTTTTATCTGATTTTATCTTCGCTACTCACACGTTTGTTTAAAAAATAAAATGACCACAGCCGTCGATGGGCCGTTAAACATAAACAAACAATCAAACAAACAAAAGATAATCTAGAAGACTTATTTAACGTGACAAAGCTTCGGTCAAATGAAATAATACAAAACATACATTGATTTTATTCGGGCTCTTTTCAATTTCTTTTGATTGAATATTATTTTGATTCAAATGTAGAATTCACGAGCACAATATATTGAAAGTGTAATAACAAAAACAATACAAACCAAAAACGTGTAAATGAGTTATTTTACATGTAACAGAAAAAAAATAGGTAGCTTGCAGTGTTTCAGCACTTATTTTTTCACTGTGGTTTTGCTATCGTTATAAAGGTTGACAAAACATCCATAATCTAACCATGTGTTTGCACCTGGAATTCTACTTTTCAGTTCACACCTCCTGTTAAGGATGATTCTAAGTGTTCAATTACTACGTTTTCGTTATTTCTTCATACACGTTGATGTATACGTCACCACTCAGTTATCACACTCCTGTTCAAAAGGTTACATAACAATTATATTTGTACTTGTAATGGATCATTGAATCCGCCTAACTGAGCAATCTTGTTTTTACTGACCAACTAACGCTTGTGTATGTCCTTTGTCTCATTCCTAACCGAATATGGTATTAACCAGTGGCCAGTGCGACATTTTGTCAAGCACTAATTGCCCATTAAAGTTACACAGTGACCACGTATACGTAATCGGGCACCCCTAGACTCTGTGTCTAGAAATAGTATATGTATCGTGTATATTGGCTAATGCTTATATATAAGTTAGATACATAAGGTACTTAAGCTTAACAGTTTGAGTCTAAAACCAGATAAATACGACTAATAACAGTCATTTTTCGTTTTATACGAGTTACACTTTTAAGAAGGTTACGTACAGGTGGCAGGTTGACCGTTTTTTCCTGTACAGTAACGGATTGTTGAAAGATATTTTTTTCTAAAATGAAATATTCGTTTTTCTAATCTCAAACATCTCCAAAATCAAATTATAAAAATATAAACATGCAACTTCAATTGATTTGTTAAAAGTAAATTGATGAAAAACAGCAATAATTAAAGAGTAAAAAATATTCTCCGGGCCTGGGGCTGGAACTTTCAATCTTATAGTTACCAAACAAACTCCTTTTTTTCTAAAACAATATTTGTATTATCCCACACCTAAGAACACAGGGGTGGGAGCCCCTGAGGTTCATCATAGTACAACAATAAATATACCGATAAACATAAAAATATACCACAGAACCGAAAATTGTTTTGGTGACATTGCAATAAGACATAGATGTAAAAGATCTCATCCGTTTGTATAACAGGTTAATTTTTACACAAGCGCTAGCTTGATCTACCGAAACATATTGATTAAGATTTACAAAATAATTTCGGAAAGGCATAATTTCTTACAATTTATTTGAATGATTGCGATAAAATGAAAATGAAAAACAAATGAATTTCCTGTCAGGAATTTAAAAAAACGCAAGATTGGAACATTTTCTTCATTTAACACCATCATATTTCTTCTTTTATAGCTACACACAAAAACAAAATAACAAAATGACTATTTCCATTGTTTAATTTCTCACAAATTCCAAGCATTATAATTTGCTTTGCCAAAATAGAAAATGCAATGTTTGATTTTACTATTGGCCACGTTTAGGTTGATTTGCTCGTTTTAACTCGAAGAGCAGAAGTTGCATCAACTGGTGTATTTGTAGCAGAAAATCTCGCCGGTCGTGTTAAGACTTTGTTCCCCTGGCACAAATGTTTCAATATCCGTACTATCGACAAAACTGAATAAAAATTGACAGGGACGATAGTGGTAAACTTGTCCTGGCCCTACATGTCGAAGCGATGGTCATACTGTTGTCGAATGATTCGGGAAATCATCGCGAGCAACAGTTAGACAACTTTAAATAATATAGCAGTATCCTACAGACAACATCATGTGCATTGCTATATGTGATAACCTACTTAATTGTGCTAGGTGTCAACTGTAAAATATCGGTGATACCAAACCTCAACGATTTAGAAATACCGGTGGATCCTTCCAGTCATGTAGGTACAATGTATATATACTGACTATTCCCGATGATTTCTAACAAACCTGGAGTGACCAGTAACGTCTTAACAAGGAACAACTTGGCATGAGTGAAGAACACTATGCCAATAGATTATCCTTGATACTCCAGGGGTTACGCTCACTTTCGTCCTTTGCACCCCTGGGATATGTTATAGCAAAATTGAATGCACGCGTCTAGGTATTAGATTGTTCTCATGTAAACAAACCTAATCAATCCCCTGACTGACACATGCCCTTTGAGGATAACTGGAAATATTGCACTCCTCTTCAATGTTCAACAATTTTCTATATGGACGAACCCTATCGACACTTCCCTTTACTATTTCTGCCGTGCGTCATTGCATGTGTTTCTCCAATAATTCACGATTAACTCATATCCATTACAGGTACATCTTCCTCATTTATCTATTCGAGCATTTATCAGAACTTTGGTTCAATGTTTTGCCATACTGATTACGTTCTCTACGTTCTCATCCCGATCACGTCTTCTTTTCGCCGCAGTCAATTTGTTTTTGTATGTGTTTTTTTCTTCGTTTTCAATGCCAGTACAGTAAAGCTGTCCTCATTTTTCTGATAATCTAAATACCAAGTTCTATAACAATATTTAGTGAGAAGCAGTCTAAAGGGATATGTTTGAGCACTAGTGCTATGGCTAAAAAGAAGTTATGTGATCCTAAATTGTGTTATTTTATGCTTAGTATTTATGTTTTGACATAGGGGCGGATTTTTAAATTATATTGTCCGCAATGTCGCTATCACGTGCTTCCTTATATATCAATTTCAGTAATATAAATCATCAGACCTGTTGTTTGTTCGATTTCAGTGGATTTTATATAACTCATAAAACCTACAAATCTGTATAACATAGGAATACATAATTATGACCGTATGCTGATAGTAAAAATTATGTTACACAAGCCAAAGTGCGAGCAGCCAGCTCTGTTTTCAGCAAGCCCTTGGAATGAGGTTCGTATGTACTTGTGAATCCTGTTTTGTGTTAATACAAAGAACAATAAATATGATGATATTTTTACTTCTAAATCCTACTGCTAGTGTTATTGAGGATATCTTAGCTAGTAGCTGAAGGACATATACAGTTATACATAAACATTTAAGCAAAGAAGTAACTCGCGTCCTAAGGATTAGTTTTTACCATAATTAGCCTTCGGTTACAAGCTTACCGAGGGGATATGCTATAAAATAAGCATCTTTTATAAGTGATACNTTAATTTTTTTTTTTTTTTTTTTTTTTTATCTTTTTCATTTTATTATATTGTTTTGTAGCGATTACTTATTTCTTTGTTATATGTTGCGATATGTAAGTGTTCATGTTTATATCTTGAAAATGTGTCAATGTTGTAAATTATTATTTTAAAAAATGCCCTGAAAATTTTACAAATGCCTTTTTCTTCACAGTCGTTATTACTCCTTTGCTTATATATCTATTGAAGTAATACGTCTCCATCCAAAACCTATACAGATCCTTTATTGGATCATACTGTCGGTAGTAGTAGTAAAGTCCACGTTGTTCATAAATTAAATAAAACACGATACAGTAAGTGACAATGACAAGATCAATTATAAACAGACAAAAATATGATAAACTAGATCATATTGAAGATAAAAAAAATCTTAAAAAAAGAACAGTGGAATACATGCAATGACCCGGAGTGAAGTTTATTCAGTTTACATTGTTTGAACACACATACAACTATGCATGTAACCCGCCCCTGAGATACCAGACTGTCTAAAATGGTAGCGCAAGCGAGGAAATTAGTTGTACATTTCAAACATTTAACCACTGTTTCCGCAGATATACGTTTTAATTTGACTAATCAAGATGGAGTTCGAGCGTCTGTGTGGCCATTTTAGTTGATGCTGATCATTTATGTGGATTGGGTTATCTGCTGCTATTTGTTATGTACATTAGCTTATATGTGTATTGACCCTTACGCTTTAATTAATATGCTTTCATTTTAACACATGCTATAATTATCAATGTTTTTACAGATCATTTGCCTTCACTGTAAACATTTTCATGTTTCTGTCCATATGCTGTTTTTATATATGCTAGCATTTCTATGATATTTACAAACGTTTAGGAAAGCTTATTTGTATTGTTGGTTTTCGCCATTTTTCACATGTTGACAACTTTACTGCCATGGAAACAATTTCAACTTTTAAGATTAATAACGTTGTTTGTTCGAGTTGACGATCATGTTTTGCATGCCATGTAAAATCGATATTTTACTCACAGCGTGTTACCTGCGTATTATTATCGTGATAAGTGTGGTAGTCGTTTCAATAAAACAGATTACTCACGTTTTGGTGGGTGGTTATTCCATATAACTCCTGTTGATTCTGATCATCACACTAATGCAGAATTTAAGTATGATATACTTTGAAATACACTTAAATTACGAGAGGGAAGAACGTGTATAATTGAGGAGCGACGCGAAGCTCCTTCCTTGACTGACCGCTTACCTCGGATCTGCGGGTTTAAGTCTGGAGGTTATTATAAATCGAATTTTGTCATTGGAAGGGGAAAAACTAATGATGATTGTCACGTTATTGAATGTGTAATATAGTTCCGTATCCGACTCTGCCACCGAACATGATCATATCAACTAGCTACGTATGGAATACGAGTAGGTGTAGGAAGATCTGAATAGTGACTTGGTTTGAATCCTACAAACTGAGATAGATCCTCTTTCACCTGTGGTGTACAATGTGTGTATGGAGTGCTTTGTAACAGAGGAAATCATGGCATGCCGAGCAATAGTTCAGAGTTTAAGTACCCACATTAGACGTACTGTTTCCAAATCAATGCGAATGCTCGGTTTTATAAAACGTACATGTAAAAGTTTAAAACAAATACCTGTTTTAAGGTCTTTATATTTAAGTCTTGTCGGGAGTCAGTTAGAATACTGTTGTCAGATCTGGTCTCCTTACCAAACATCTTTAATTCAACAGGTCGAAGTTGTCCAGCGCGAACTTTTGAAATGTTTATGTGTTAAGGCACACATTGACTACAATTCCATGTCTTACGCTGACACTTGTAGGCATTTTAATCTTCCTAGCCTCGAACGTAGGCGGGTATTTTTAGACTGTGTATTTCTTAATGTGTTTATATAGTGCTTTTGATTGCCCCTATTAAGTCCAGCAAATGTGTTTTTTAGTCCCTGGTCGTAATCTACGATCAATTCGTTTCAGCCAGTTTTACTGCCAGAGAAGAAGAATAAACATTAGAAAGTACAGTATTTTAAACAGGATTCAATATATTATATCTTGATTTCGCACCAGACTGTGATATGCTTTGTTGCTATCTCGCAGTTCAAAGTACGGTAAAAGTATGTTTGCTATCACTAATTCCTTTTGTTTTACATATGAGTATCTTTTAGTCTGTGTACGTGCATAACTGACTGTGATATTTTATACTGGCTTTGTATTGTTGTTATCGTTTCTGAAAGTGGACCCTTTGGTCTGTTGAATTGGAAATAAATAAATAACTTGTCACTATATTATATATTTGAAAGCTGTGTGTTGATGGGACTTTAAATACCTGCACCACAAGACACAATTACTAGCGTATTATTCCAATGCAAATATCGCTTGGCATTGTGAGACTATCAGCCACGGTTTCTTTAGTTTCCGACGACATGTAAAGTAACGAGGATGTTGTAGAATCTACCGACTGTAGCCAGGTTTCCATGCAATCAACAAATAAATTAGCACATGGATTCTTCGTAAATACCAACTTTTCTCATCGGTCATACAAATTCCAAAAATAACTCCCTCTTGGAAGTCAAGGACTTATCACGGTGTTGACTGTATTAATCCATGTTCAAAATTTGTTTCGGTGTAAAAATCAAAACGATTTCAAATCTAACTTTCAACTCTGATTTCTATTAATAAACTTTAATCACCCAATAAACACATTATACGCAATTGTATTGATTCATGATCGAGGAATAAAATTCAATTTTCAAATAATTACTTTGTTTGTCAATCTGCACGTGATATTATGATGTTTTCTTGCAAAGCTGTGGCATTCAAATAGATCATAAATTCCATACAGAAACAGTTCAATGCTAAAATGAGTATTCTTTACTATGGGGACTACTGTTTATCTACATACATCCGTCAACAGCAATAAATCCATCTTCATGTCCACACACGCATGTCTATATACTGGTCCACACCAGTACATGTATATCAGTAAAAGTAACCAAAACATGTTACTATGTTTAGGCCCATTCCCCCTCATAGGTCCTTCAGTGCCAACGCCAGTTCATCACTATGCCTGGAGGTTGATAAGGTCCTTTAGTGCCAACGCCAGTTCATCAATTTGCCTGGAGGTTGATTAGGTCCTTCAGTGCCATCGTCAGTTCATCACTATGCCTGGAGATTGATTAGGTCCTTCAGTGCCATCGTCAGTTTATCACTATGCCTGGAGGTTGATTAGGTCCTTCAGTGCCATCGTCAGTTTATCACTATGCCTGGAGGTTGATTAGGTCCTTCAGTGCCATCGTCAGTTTATCACTATGCCTGGAGGTTGATTAGGTCCTTCAGTGCCATCGTCAGTTTATCACTATGCCTGGAGGTTGATTAGGTCCTTCAGTGCCATCGTCAGTTTATCACTATGCCTGGAGGTTGATTAGGTCCTTCAGTGCCATCGTCAGTTTATCACTATGCCTGGAGGCTGATTAGGTCCTTCAGTGCCATCGTCAGTTTATCACTATGCCTGGAGGCTGATTAGGTCCTTCAATGCCATAGCCAGTTCATCACTATGCCTGGAGGTTGATTAGGTCCTTCAGTGCCATCGCCAGTTCATCACTATGCCTGGAGGTTGATTAGGTCCTTCAGTGCCATCGTCAGTTCATCACTATGCCTGGAGGTTGATTAGGTCCTTTATTGCCATCGTCAGTTCATCTTTGTGCCTGGAGATTGATTAGGTCCTTAAGTGCCATCGTCAGTTCATCGATATGCCTGGAGGTTGATTAGGTCCTTAAGTGCCATCGACAGCTCATCACTATGCCTGGAGGTTGATTAGGTCCTTCAGTGCCATCGTCAGTTCATCACTATGCCTGGAGGTTGATAAGGTCCTTCAGTGCCATCGTCAGTTCATCACTATGCCTGGAGGCTGATTAGGTCCTTCAGTGCCATCGTCAGTTCATCACTATGCCTGGAGGTTGATAAGGTCCTTCAGTGCCATCGTCAGTTCATCACTATGCCTGGAGGCTGATTAGGTCCTTCAGTGCCATCGTCAGTTCATCACTATGCCTGGAGGTTGATTAGGTCCTTCAGTGCCATCGTCAGTTCATCACTATGCCTGGAGGCTGATTAAGTCCTTCAGTGCCATCGTCAGTTCATCACTAAGCCTGGAGGTTGATTAGGTCCTTCAGTGCCATCATCAGTTCATCACTATGCCTGGAGGTTGATTAGGTCCTTTATTGCCATCGTCAGTTCATCTTTATGCCTGGGGGTTGATTAGGTCCTTCAGTGCCATCGTCAGTTCATCACTATGCCTGGAGGTTGATTAGATCCTTCAGTGCCATCGTCAGTTCATCACTATGCCTGGAGGTTGATTAGGTCCTTCAGTTGCCATCGTCAGTTCATCACTATGCCTGGAGGTTGATGCATTACTTACAAAAACTGGAAACTTTCACTCTTCATTTTTTAAATCCAAATTTGCTCCGTGTTTGATTCGCCTTTCACATGTTATGGCTATAAATGGTGTGTTGAGTATTAACACTTTCTGTCAGGATAAATTCGCCCTCGTTATGGAGGCCCGAAAAGACAAATGGGTGCAGTGGATGTTTCTCTGTTTACAGAAGTCACCTTTAAAGTTGAAATCAAAGAATGATCTAGTTTTGTTTGTAGATTAGAGTTATCTTTCTTTATCTGTTAACAAATTGCGTGTTGTTATGTATTATCACATAGAAGAATGTATAACATGTATTATCAGACAAGTAATTCTTAGTTATTAGACAGGAGACATAATTGTAATTCGATAAGTAAGGTTTGGGGTGCGCTCCATCATAAGTTTAAACTACCATCATTAGATTGAACTATTTACTTTCAAAGAACATGCGTTCTATAACGACACTGGTTATAGCTATCAACATATGATAGGTAAATGACAAAAGCTAAGTAAGAGTGGAGACGGACTAAAGTATAGATATTTTATTGCACATGGCATCATCATTACATATTAATGTAAATTTAATAGGACTGTTATATGTCATACAGTAGTAATGTATGATATATGCGTACATTATTGGTATATGTTATATGTCATACAGTGGTCGTGTATGTTATATGTCATACAGTGGTTGTGTATGTTATATGTCATACAGTGGTTGTGTATGTTATATGTCATACAGTGGTCGTGTATGTTATATGTCATACAGTGGTCGTGTATGTTATATGACATACAGTAGTTGTGTGTGTTATATGTCATACAGTGGTAATGTATGCTATATGCGTACATTAGTGGTATATGTTATATGTCATACAGTGGTCGTGTATGTTATATGTCATACAGTGGTTGTGTATGTTATATGTCATACAGTGGTTGTGTATGTTATATGTCATACAGTGGTCGTGTATGTTATATGTCATACAGTGGTCGTGTATGTTATATGACATACAGTAGTTGTGTGTGTTATATGTCATACAGTGGTAATGTATGCTATATGCGTACAGTAGTGGTATATGTTATATGTCATACAGTGGTCGTGTATGTTATATGTCATACAGTGGTAATGTATGCTATATGCGTACATTATTGGTATATGTTATATGACATACAGTAGGTGTGTGTTATATGTCATACAGTGGTAATGTATGCTATATGCGTACATTATTGGTATATGTTATATGTCATACAGTGGTCGTGTATGTTATATGTCATACAGTGGTCGTGTATGTTATATGTCATACAGTGGTCGTGTATGTTATATGACATACAGTAGTTGTGTGTGTTATATGTCATACAGTGATAATGTATGCTATATGCGTACAGTAGTGGTATATGTTATATGTCATACAGTGGTGGTGTGTGTTATATGTCATACAGTGGTAATGTATGCTATATGCGTACATTATTGGTATATGTTATATGTCATACAGTGGTCGTGTATGTTATATGTCATACAGTGGTCGTGTATGTTATATGTCATACAGTGGTCGTGTATGTTATATGACATACAGTAGTTGTGTGTGTTATATGTCATACAGTGGTAATGTATGCTATATGCGTACAGTAGTGGTATATGTTATATGTCATACAGTGGTCGTGTATGTTATATGTCATACAGTGGTGGTGTATGTTATATGTCATACAGTGGTCGTGTATGTTATATGTCATACAGT